CATTACATTTAAAAGATAAAAGTTAAAACATTTTGCTGTTCTCTCTTAAATACCTCCATGTGTAAAGTTTGAGGCACATCAGCTTTGCAGTGAAGCTTGACGTAGCGCCTCAGCTTGTAGTCAAAGGTAAATCTCTTTAGCAGGAGGGTCAGAACATCTGGATGTTGTGTTATCTCCCATTTCTAGGACACAACATAAAAACAACTACATGAACCAGAGGCATTCATCTTTTGTGATAAAAACTTTAAGAGATCAGATTCATCACTCACAATGTTTGCATTTTGCTTTTCATCACAGCGGCTGCAGTATATCTGGTCATCACCAGATACTTGTTGTAACTCAAAGAAAGCTTCGAGTCCTTGCTCCTGCAAATCATGAAGATTTTATGTAAAACAGATTGCTCTCTTAACATTTTGAAAATATATACCCTTGCTTTTAATGAAAGAAAATTCAGTACCACATTGTAGGTTTTATATCTTGAATATTCCACCATTAGTGGCAGAATCCAAAAGAAGCTCCTGGAATCGTTCTTCATGTCGCACTTACAGCATGTTGTCCTGTGATTCAGCTCTCCTTTAAAGATCTGGACACAAAAAAAGTACAATTGTTGCTGTACACCCATGTAATCAGAGACACTGTTAGAGCTATACTGCACTGACAAAAGCATTTTGTTAGAATAAAGTACAATAATTTGTGAGGCCTACTGCTACATCTACTCCTATTTTCTGTTCAGGAATGCAAATAAATAACTCATTTGGCTTATTAATTAAAAAAGTAATTTCTGCTAATTTTTTCTGCTCAAGTTCATGGATTAAATATTAGAATTAAAACTATCATTTTGATTAAAGACATTGTGCATGCTGTTAAAGTCATTATCATACGGTGGCGGTCTAATTAATTTGTTAAGCATTGTATAAATGAACTTTTAACCTGTCAACACTCACTGGAACATAACAAACAGTCTGTATAGAATCACCAACATTTACATTTTTAAAAAGATTTCTTTTTAAACTTTTTTCTCCTTGGAAGTTAAACTTCCACCACCATCTGCACTGCTTCGTAAATCTGCATGCAGAATTCAAAATACTTTGACTATGTTTCCCTCTTATATCGTCTCGGGTAAATCTAAGTATTTTAATCTTTACACTTTAACTCAGCTACTGCACATATTTGAAAAAATATGTATATATATATATATATTAATTTTTGATCAACTACCCAGACACGTGTTTATGGTTTAACAACCTACATAAAAAAATCAGATTCTTTATTTTCCAAAAGACGCTTTTAACACTGAGCAGCACTGAACACACTTAGCAGACAGCTACAGCTGGTGCCTGCTGTGCTGTACGTTGTACATGTGTACCTAGATATATTCAAATTTCAGCACTGATTAATGAACACTGTGCCCTTAAAGTAAACAGAGCTGTATATTGGTCGCACCTTGGAAGCGTCCTGGCTCGTCATACACAAAATCTTCTCAAAATATTCAGCAGCATCACGTTGTTCAAATACTGAAGATCAGGGAGATAGAAGAAGACGCAAAATTATTACCAGAGCACCAGTAATAATATATTTGTTACTGCATTTCAAATGCACACACAGAATAAT